TCTGATAATAGTCAAAATGGGGTTGATAATGTACCAAGTAAATCTAGGGTCACTGTGATTGGCGGCATAACAATACCTGAGAATGCCTAGACTGCTCGATTTTCAGATGGTCTGGGAAATATTTCGCGCAAATAAGGGGGTTGGCAATGGGACAGCGACTGGCGCCAAGCCTTGCCATTGTGTTTATGTCTAAGCTAGATGCCCTTGTTCTCGATCTCCGGCCACTACTCTACTGCAAATATGTAGATGATTGTTTTGTCGTCTTCTCTGCGCAAGAGGAGATGGACAAATGCTTTGAATTATTGAACGAGCAGTCTGAGTATATAAAGTTCACCCGGGAGAAACCGAGATAAAACAGGCTTCCTTTTCTGAACGTTCAAATAAACCTATCAAGTAGCGATTACTTGACAAAGCGGTACCGAAAGCCAAGTAACAAGAACATCCTCGTTCATTTCCTTTCTTACCACCCTTCACACATAAAGAGGGCGATTGTGAGAAACATGTTTCGAACAGCCACCTCTGTGTGCACTACCAGGGAACTAAAAGAAGAATCGAGCGATTTGGCTGGGCAAATAGCCATCTCCAATGGCTACGAAATAGTAAACCCACGAGATAGGTTTAGAAGGAGAGCGACGCGCCCACACGAAACACTTGGCCAAAAGAAAGTCCCGCTTATGTTGCCTTTTATTAGCGATGAAGTAGGTGTAGCTATTGAACGCTGCTTAAGAAGGGCAGCTCTAGAGGAATCGGTAGCGATAGTTGAAATACCACCGGCTACTCTACGTCGTCAATTAGTTTGTAACCGCCTGTATGACTGTCTCTGTGAAACAACAGATTGCGTAATTTGCCCTTACGGCAGGTACGGTGATTGCATGAGTTCAGGTACGATATACTTGATCTCTTCTTATAATTGCGGAGATGAATATATTGGCGAAACGGGCAGACCTTTGTGTATCCGTATAAAAGAACACCTAGATGGCAAACGAAAACTAAGACGAAGTGCCCCACTAGGCACACATAGGATACAAAAGCATTGCGGAGACGATTTTGAAGTAAAAGTCAATATCCTTGCACAGGAGTCCAAAACACCAGCGCAAGAACTTCTTGAGGATTTTTGGATAAATGCCAAAAACCCTACAATGAATAGCAGGGATGAATGCCCGGAGGTCATACGCGACCTGATCCCGTATGTTTGCATTGATTTTTGATGTGGGATGGTGCAGTCGTCAACCATATGCGACTATAATCAGCTGTTCCAAACTTCCTCATTAGAAGTCACGTGAAAAGCAGTGAGTTTTTCGAGAAGCTGTTGATCATGTATTTACCATGGAGTTTTTCGTCTCTTTGTAAGTGTTGTTAAAGCCACATTGTTATACCTTTTTATTATCTGCCTACTACAATTTCGCGGCAGGGTACTGAGCGAAATAGAACCGCAACGTTGCTGAGATATTTGGAAAACTCTGGACCGCAGGTGTCTATGGTGGGGAACGAACGCGCTATTGTCCTTTCCGGGGAGTAACGCGTTCACCACCACACCATGCGGGTCCTTTGTTTCGCCTGTCTCTCAGCGTTCGTTCCCCACCATAGACACCTGCGGTCTAGAGTCTTGCAAAAANATTTCGCGGCAGGGTACTGAGCGAAATAGAACCGCAACGTTGCTGAGATATTTGGAAAACTCTGGACCGCAGGTGTCTATGGTGGGGAACGAACGCTGAGAGACAGGCGAAACAAAGGACCCGCATGGTGTGGTGGTGAACGCGTTACTCCCCGGAAAGGACAATAGCGCGTTCGTTCCCCACCATAGACACCTGCGGTCTAGAGTCTTGCAAAAATCTCAGCAACGTTGTTATTGAAGCGTTTGGCCTATTAGATTGTATATCAGTATACCCTTCCAAGCTCTGAAGAAGACGATACTGCCGAAACGTCAGCTACTGTTGTATTGTATTGTGTTTCTCTGTGGAAGTAAATGTATGCTGTTTAAAGACCTTGCGAATGCTGAACAAGAAAACGACCCATTCATATTCCAATGCCAAGGTTAATGGAAAGTCGATACTGGGAACTGTTGCTTGCTCCCATAACAAATGACCCGCTCTTTTACTCTATTTACACTTTATTCGGCTTTTTATTTTTCTATAAATAACTCAATTTTGCTCGTTGTCTAGAACGCTTTTACGTCATCCCATGCTCTTCAAACATTTCCAGGTGTTGCATTTCTTGAAAAAAAAAGTCGTTCACGATCTAACCACGGTGTTATAGGACCTTGGTAATCGGTTTCGCAGCACATTCTTCTATTTCCGTTTTATCCCATAATCCATAATTTTTCACAACGTTGCAATTTCAAACGGAGGAAAAAACCACAGCCGTTAAAGAAAACGAAACACTCATTGGGATCTGCCTTAAGATGAGGCACGCAAGGTGCTACATCTGAGATATTACTGAAGTTGCAGTATTGATTAAAAACATTATCATCTTGGTTCCCAAGTTGTGCTGATAACCTAGACATGATGAGTTTTTTATCGGACAATGCAAATGATGATGAGAGAGACTGGCTGCTCATTGGTTCAACTTGCGGGCAGAATTTATATGAGAGCTTGCAGAACTAGCAAATGCATGAGTTTAGACGAGTATCTAGTGCATTTTAAGGGTAGAGTGATATTCTGATGATAAATCAACGTAAGAAAGACAAGAATGGCGTAGAGGATCTGCTGTGGCAGCGTAGAGAAAGGGCGGATACATGGATTCAAGACTTAAGTCTTTTTGAATTTGGTGGGAATGGACAGCGCGGTGGTGTTTGCAGCCTCAGTTAACCACATCCCCGAAGGTTATGGTCAACATCCAGAGAATCGGAGACCTTGTGTTGTTTATTATAAGAAACTACCAAGTGTTGTTACTCCACATCCACTGCAGGTCATGCTAAGCACAACCTCTTCAATAAATTCTTGTATTTAAGTTATTTTAATAATTGGTAAAAAGAAATCAACCACAACGATGCTGAGATAATCGCAGAAACTATGCTTCGGGTCAGATCGAACCACGACTTCCTTTTCCGGGATCTCGCACATTACACACTGCGCCACGGAGGCCTTGCTGTGAGTTTCTCTCAGCTAGCATTGTTGTGGTTGATTTCGAATAACACCCTGTCGTGAAAATCGTAGTAGGCAGTAAGTAAAAAGAGAAACATAGTAAAGAGAAAGTTAACTGTAGACGTTATGTTTTGCGAAACTATGTGCAGATTGTGAACTGTCATGGTTGAAGAATTTCAAAGCTTATAATTCTAAGTAAATCCAGCTTAAAAAGAAAATATGGTGAAGGCCGAGGGTTGCGATGTTTGCTGAGCTTGTAAAAGCTGTCAGCTTCAACAATTTTGGTTTTCTGTGTAAATGTTTTTGATACATTTGTAACACCAATGAAAGTTCATGCAAATAGAGGTTATGATTACGTGATCCTGCCGAATTTCCAAAGAAACGCCCTGTATCATTTATGCAGTCCTAGTTTTTCTACATTTTGCAAGCACCATTTTACGTCTGTTCAAAGGTTTACTGTCTTGGTTATAGAAAAATGTGTTCCTAAGTTCCGAACTACACAGTTAAAGTTCGATAGAGATGTGAATACCCACCATAGAGTTCAAATCAGACGAATAAACTTGAATGAAGAAGATCCATTTTGCAAATTATTTAGTGTGGAATAGAATCTTTCTTTTCAATGTTTTCACAAAAAATTAAACCAAATAAAATTATTCTTTTGTAGATGCAGCAACTTCCTGCAAATCGTACAACGAATGCGATCTTCCGCGAATATGCGGTCTCAATCATACATGTGAATGTCCGTTCACCATGTTTGAAGATTCAAATGGTGTTTGCCTGTATCGCATCGTTGATGGTATGAAAATTCCTTCGCTAGCCGATGGCTTTTCTTTGGCAGGCTATGTAAATGTTTGACTTTCTGGACAACCGTTTTTATAAATAATATCGGCTTAAGCACTACTTAATTCTGGCTAGTATTTCGCCGTTTGGATCTTTTTCTTTTATGGAATCTCAGAATAAGCGTATAGGATATTCTCGTAATGTGTAGGTAATCAGCGACTTCGTGGGTAGGCACGTGTTTGCGTTATTGATTAAGCTTGTTTTATTACGTTTGCGATAACTCTTCTAGATCCATGCAGTTCAATCTGGCGTTCAAATGGGTTAGTTATGTGTTCAATTTGGAAGGCTTCGCTGCATGGTGAACCCATGTTACATGTAGCACCTTGCCCCTTACCGTCATCCATTCGTTATCATGAGGTGGCGAACCATCTAGAGAGGGCTACCCATGTGCTGTTAAAATTATCTGAAAATTTATAATTCGTGCTGAAATTGTCTGCCCTCTACCAATCCTCCGTCATATTTTTGTCAATTACGCAATGTTTTGTTAAAATTTGTAGGTGGTCGGTCTTGGGCTTGATCTGAACTACGTGCTTTTTTATTCTTGTGAGTTTTGAGAGTTGCCAGTTACATAGGATTTTCTCAGCCTTCACCTTCAGGATTAAGTAGGGGGAGAGAAAAAAGTATATACATTATGATGCAGTAGCAAGATTTCGCGTAATCTGTCTATTTATTTCTCTTCGTTTTTCTTTTATGATGTTTTCATTTCATTCTATTTAAAAGGCTTTTGTGTATCGCGTTAAATTTAAGCTTGGTAAATTAATCATAATCAAGCAACTACAAATATTTCAGCTCCGGTCGGCTCATTCTGTAACGAGACAACTACGTGTAGAAGCCCATCCACGTGCGCTTCCCATATTTGTACTTGCCCAGCAGGATTCATCACGAAAAATTCAGCATGTTTTCCTGAACTAACTGGTGTCAACTAACCCATCCTAACATTTGACTCGATACGCCTAAAAATTCTACGTGACGTGTTGATTCACTTACTGTTTGCATGTTAATAAATATGTGCCGAAATCTAATCCTACATGAACCGACGTGAATGCGTAGAAATCAAATTGGCTTAGGATAGTCGTGTAGAACAGGTGCATGTGCTTGAAGACATGACATAACAGAATTCAGCAAGCCATGCACTACCATTTCCAAGTAGACTACTAATGGTTTATAGTAGTCTGCCCTTCGTCATCATTAGTATTGTTTCGATTTTGAAATGAGAATTGTATTAAATGCGCTTCAATGTTTTTCTTTGAAAGCAGAATTCAAAAAGTATTTCAACTCAACACTGCTTCTTCCGTGCCCTGAAGATGGTTCCTGCAAATTGCCGCAATGCTTCTGTTCTTTGTGAGTGCTCTATTGACAACTACTTTGTTTAGCTGGAAAACTGAATAACTTTCACTTTCAGCAATATTTCCTTAACAGTCTTTTAAACAGCTTTCCCTTAATTGATTTGCTGTAGGACTGGCACCGAACCGCCAAGAAGTCTTAATGCTGCGAATGTACCTCAAATGGTGATACTCTCGTTTGACGATGCCATTACGGATCGAACAATTAATGTTTACAAATCGCTCTTTAATGGAAGGGTATTAAATTCCCAGAGTAACGTCCTTATTGTAAGCTGTGGCACTGCTACAGCTCCTTTTTTGTAGCATCGCAACCCAAATGGATGTGCTATTAAAGGAACGTTCTTCATTTCACATCAGTGGAATAACTATGATCAAACGCAATGGCTATATGGCCAGGGCCATGAAATCGCTCTGAACTCAATAACGTCAGTTTTAGACGTGTTTTCTCTGACAGCGTGAGCTCTTAATATTGCTTTCAGTGTTATAATTTAGACATGAAACCCTAGCCAATAAATCCAAGGAGCGATGGAGGCACGAAATGATTGGGTTGAAAGAATCACTTGAGGCTTTCAGCTACGTCGACAAAGAGTCGATCAAAGGGGTTCGGGCCCCTCAGCTTCTGATTGGAGGCGTGTTTATATCATGGCCGACTTCATAATGTTTCGACGTAACACTTCATTTCCAGGTGACGCACAATTCCAAATGATGGAAGAGGAGAAACTCTGGTATGATAACTCTATGCCTGTCAATGAGGGACCGTTGTGGCCTCAAACATTAGGTAAATTATTTTTTATTCGTTGACTTCCTGGTAACTAACGTTCATTGCTTATAGACCACAGTTTGTCTTGGGACTGCTCTGGACAGAACTGTCCACGGCGCCCTCACAAAGGTATTTGGATGGTTCCTCTTCAACTTTTGCAAGCAAATAATGGGATTTGGCATAACACCGCAAGAGCAGCTTTAAAAGTAGGCCCTTATTTTACAATCATGAAAATATCTACTGTATTTCTAAATGAAAGTTTCTAACAAAAAGATTTTTATTTACTTTAAAACATTTGACTTTTTTTGAACGTCTTCTCCATATATGTCAAACCCTGAATTTTTCGAGAAATGGCCGAGTACTTTCTCAGCCACTTCTTGCACTATCTAAGTGAAGTCGTTTCAGCCAACGGATTCCCGTTCAAGCGTGATGCAGTTCCTTCGTAACAATTTCTACAGGAACTACAATACAAATCGTGCCCCTTTTATTCTTACTGCAGATACAGACTTCTTAACTTACTTGCCAGATAATGGAGTAGTATTAGCCATCAACGACTGGCTTACTGAGGTTGGGGAGCAGCAGATGAACGAAGTTTTTCGAGAATTTCAGTAATCATTTGTTTAGATTTTGGGCAGGAGGGACGTTTATGTGGTTACCGTAAAGCAGGTGATTAGTTGGATGCAAACTCCCGTAGCCCTCAGTGAAGCTTCGAAATTCAAGCCTTGGCAATGTGAGCGTCGTCTTAAGGATCACATGCAGCCATGCGAGGTGATGTCTGCTAAGCTTCCACAAAACATCCAAGGATCTCTTCCTGTTTACCAGTAACTACCGATAATTTTTCGATAATCAAAACATTGTTTGAGAACACAGCAAGCTTACAGAACACGTGAGCTTTCGGAAAGGGTAATTGCGGTTCGATCTGGCTTTGGGTCCAAGCTTTATAAACATCTCAGTATCACAGTGGTTGTATTTCACATCATATGCTAACGTCAATGGTCGCGTGTGATGCAATGGTTGGAGACGCCTATACGACACACACGTGGAATCGAGTCCCGCGCCCATAACCCACCAAGCCCTCCATTCCTGCAGGGTCGGCAAATTGGTACCAGACTTGTCTGGGAAGATAGCAGCACTGGCTCGACACACTGGTAGGGCACCGCCAGTCGCTGTAAAGGCCAGATATACATTCGATCACCTCCAAACAATACTTAATAAAGTCGAATGCATGGCGCATCCCTCAAGGATTGTTCAACGTCGAGAGCTTTATCCTCATCCTAACGTGAAAAATAATAGTAGGCAACGAATAAAAAGTTACCATTACACAGGAAAATTTTCTTTCCAAAGATAAACATAGTTTTTTTGAATAATTATTTCACGTTTAAATTTGGTCAATATTCAAATGTTAAAAGAATTTTAAAAATATAACGCAGAGAGGAAGGGAAAAGCATCACTCACCAATGCATTTGATGGCATCGTTATATCCTTATGGATGAAGTCCCGTTTATTCAATTCTTTCGATGTTTGAAATCCAAACCATAACGAACAAAAGGTTCGTAGGAAAAACTTAAGACTTCAATTTGGTGGAAGGAGGGAAGAAGCAGCAAGCTTTGATCAAGCCCTGAGCGATGTGCCACGTATATACTCAATAAACTAATATTGTACTCCATACATCATGAATCGAAGAGGTGGCGGACTGCATATTTGGTTTTTGCAATGAATTGCAGTTGCTAATGCTTCAAATCAGGTTTTACCAGCCTTGCCTTGCCGATTGAGAGGGATAGCCGGCTTGGTGGACCAAAGAGGTTTCGTCAGGGTCGGGGAGCCAGGGAATGAATAATAAGCGTCTTTACAGCGAAACACCTCTAGGCAATGCGGTACACGTACGAATTTTTCCATACGAATGCGTTGAAGTCAATCCATACATTCATTGCTGTTTTAAAAACCGATCAACTTTTTTTATGCTTTCTTTTATGTCATGATCGTAAAAAATACTTTAGACTCCATCGATTTGTACGTACTCTTCATCGAAGACCATTAGTGCGCACTCTTTCCGTGTTTGTGGAAGCTGTCCAAGATCGTATCCATGGCTAGAGAATCCACTTGGAAAGAGGCCATAGGAAGTCATCCGTCCTTTATGGTTTTCTGTGATTTTTCTACTGATACAAAATTTCTGAGTTGTTACTATTCATCCTTTCATATTTTTGTAGACCAAATGAACGGCATTAAGAAAAAATAACTTCTTGAATGTCGACAGCCACGTTTAACAAGAGCAGTATTTCCAAATCAAATTCCCAAATGACATTGTCAAATATGCCTTCCTTAACATAGTCATACCCCCATTCTTGGGATTCCGTGCAAAAACTTCTTTAGAATCCTTCTGCGCCTTGTGTAAATCCAAGTTGTTCTTGCTCATGAAATTGGTACCAACAACTCTTCAATTTAAATGAGGTTGAGTGCTGTTGTATATATATATATATATATAAATATATATATATACATATGTATGTATATGTATGGTGGTCGGTTAGGGTGCATTTTTAACCTAAGCTTGGAAGGTGGCTATCCTCTCTTTACGATCACTTCACTTGACTGCTCAAAAATTTTAACCACTCTCTGCATTTCATATGCGATGTCGGAGGAAGGTGCACTAACTGCCACTGATATACTCACTGTCTTGATATTTGTTCATATTATGGTGCTAGTAAACGCTATTTTTTTACTGCAAAAGCAGATAGCAATGGGATGGTTCTATGTAATGATTTTGGGATGTGCGGGATATTCTCTAAAATTCGTTACTTGTCCTTTTTGTTAGACTTTACATATTCCACTACCATCTGCCTTTATCTGTTCTTCACGCCCTTTCATGATGTTTGTCTCTAGTGTTATATTGTGCTTTATTCTGTACTGTTTTCAAATTTGGTGAATCGTTGTCATTTTTCACTCCCCTATGGGAAGATTTAGAACTTATTCAGTTGCATCCTAGATGGCCAACAAGCATTTTTATTCTTTTACTCCTAACTCTAAATAAAATAAATCTGTTTATTCCTTCTAATATTTGAATTGATTTTTACTCATTTTATTTGTACTCAGAATATTCAAATATTAACTTTACACTAAAAATTTCAGTCACACTATTTTAAGTTATTGATAACAGCGTTTTTTAAAACATGAAAATCTGCTCAAGTGAATTTCCAGTTATAAGTGGTCGGATTCGATTCGAGTGGTATGAGTTGATATTCAGTAATTCTCTTTGCCGGTGTTTATTTTGCAATATAAAGGTTTCTGTTGTAGACTATGAATTTAAAAAGTTGCTCTATCCATCAATTTAAATAATAACTTATCCACGGGTTTGCCGCACCATCGTGGCTGAGAGGTGTTCCTGGGTGTCGGACTGCGATGTACAGCAGGATTCATTCCTACAGCAGGGCCACCTAAGCTGAGAAGGAGTCCGGCATTTCCATCGGGAAGCCTAGCCAAGAAAAACCAAAACCATGAACCACCACCGTCCTTGTATCAAAGTCGCATGGTAGCAAATCTCTCTGACCCACAATGGCGGCGGCTGCCTGTCGTGGTGACGACCTGGGGCAAACTTTGACCAGGCCTACCTCGAGACTCCAGGAAGGCACAATAGCTGAACCAGTAAAACTCCGAAAAAGAGGGATTATGCTGGGTCCCGCACACCCAGTGAGGACAGGCCGTCCATGTACCCAGGTAATTAAGTAAATTACCTACTCTGTAGTTTGAGCCTGAAACCTGGAAGCCAATGCCGTGTACTTGATAATTTACAAAAAACTGTTTTGCGGAAGAGTTCATTTCTGCTGCACAAAGCTGCTAGTGAACAAGAGAGCAACACAGTGAGACTGTTTGACAAGGAAGAGGAACGTCTCTACAGTGCTTGAACGCTTAACTCGGAAACTTAGCCACATGCTTTTGCAGCTATGAGGTGGTAATTCATCAATGATAGTTTGACGGGCGCAATTTTATTATAGTTGTATATCCAAGGACCTCCCTAATAAAAGAATCTCATGCCGCTTAGTCGCAAGGAAACTGAACGCTTCCCCAGGTGACAGATTAATCGCTAAACAGAAGCGACCTCATGCATACCAGGGACGCAGGTGGATCTAGTATACCAACTTCTCCTTTTACGGTGCGACTTTAACAAATGCTTTCTGCGCTTGCGAATAAATATTCATGCTTGCAAGCGTGAGCGTGTTCTCATTTATGCGATTTGCATTCTACGAATCAATCCTGCCAGAAGCTTGCAAATAAAATGAGAGAGGAATATATCTAATGCGGTTAGGAGTCGCCTCCAACAATTATGCTCCCCACCTGCCCTTGGAGAGACTGACAAGCTATATGACAGCATCTTCAGCTCTCAAATTAAGAGCTCACCAAGCTAATCGTAGGTATAAAGAGCTAAACTCAATGAAACAAGTGCGCCTCACTCCCTAACCCCGAAAGAGCCCCTAATGCCACAGCGTTAGATAGAGACGAGGCAGTAAGGCTGCTAAAATCTTAGGTTCGTTGTAGGCTGCCTAAATGTCGAGGAACTAAGATAACGATCCATACCTACAATGAACGGTTATTTGCGTATAAGTCCTCGATAGAAGATTTGATCGTGCAGGCAAGAATTATAGGGTTTAACGTCATCGGACTCGCTTAGACGATGAAACGACTCCCATTCAACGCAGTGTATGGAGTGTATGGTATTGGCGGAGAACTGTTTCTTGATGTGAGTGGGGCAGGCATTTTCGTCAAAACGAGTTTAAATATGACTACCGATCCATCCAAATGATTGACAGCCCGAATCGGACCTTTACGATTGAAATATATGGTTTAATACCGGCTTTGACACTCTTCGGCTTTTTCGCACCGATAAGAAGCTATGACGAGTACGGACTCAAGACGTTCCATATAGACTTGAGGAAGTTCTGCAGAGAACACCGTCCATTCATTAAAGTCATAGTTAGAGACGTACTTCAGAAGACCGTCACATTGACGGATTAGAATGGGAGGAGCAGGGTAAGTGGATGCTTACCATGACAACCAAGACCTTCCATGGCAACTCCGAATTCCAAAAGCTCCACTCTCAACAGTGGACTTTGGAGTCTGCCAATGAGGTGTGTACCATAAGGAAATGGGCTACATCACAGCTAATCGAATGTTTTGCCTAAGCGTTGTCGCTGTCGTCATAAAATTCTAAACGGGATGAGATCACAATCTCTTCCGTGGAAAATTTTGTTTCTAGTGGAAAGAAAAAAATCCGTTAAAGTCGAAAAAGTAGAGTCCCAAAAGCCGCCACAAGCTGGGATTTCTTACGTTTCTTAGTAGGCACTTGGTAGGATGCCGTTATAAGTAATATCATAGAGTAATAAAAGGGTAAATGAAACAAAGAATACGATCAGCTAATTTAACACCTTCTCTCTAACACAATGCAGGCAGAGAGCTCGAAAGAGTCGTCTGCCTCCAAACGCTTGGATAGATATGCCAATGTGGAATCGCAGGAGCTTCGGGTGACCGTCAATATACGTCCAGCTTGCAAATAATGCACACGATGGTCGCGATCGAAGCTGCAAAGGTAGTGAAAAGCGTTCCCAACGCTCGCAGAAGCTTCGCAAATTGCATAGTCAAAGTGATGGTCCCCCCCCCCCCCCCCANCCCCCCCCCCCCCCGCCAGAAGGTACAACTACAGCTTCCTAAAAGGAATCAAAACTATTTCTTCGATGAAAAACTGAAAAACACCTGGTCCCGACAGGATAAGACCTAAACACCTGAAGAACTTCTTGTCAGTCCACAACAACACAGTGGCTCAACTTTTCACACAACACCTACGTGAATGCAAGTTTCCGTCCGATTCACTGGAGGACCAGCAATACTGGGCTATTACTCAAGAAGGGTGCCCTTTACGAAATGGCCAACTATCGTCCAATAACCTTACTGTTTT